ACGGCTGGTATCAACACCGTCTGCTCTGCAGCGGCTCGACATCCAACCAAGAAGAGCGAGGCAATATCTTCGTATAGAGTGGCACACGTCTACGGGAAAGCCTCCACAGAACGCTCGCTCCATCTCAGGACAGCCAGCCGCGATGGCGCGATTATCACTAATTCTTTCGACTGGAACTTGAATGATCCTTACGCGAGGTCTGCCGAGCGCGGTATCCCCAGGCCAGACTCACCAACCATATGAGGGTATCGTGGTTGCTGTAGTTGTATCGCCGGATCTCCTTATGATAGACACGCATCGAGGCGCGCCATGAAGAGTAAGACAAAAGCAAGTGGTTGGCGGAAGGCTGTTCTATGGGCCCGTATATGAAAATGCAAAGTTCTCGTGCGGATCGCAGACTCGTCAACATGTGAATTCTGACACTAGCAACTTCATGCACGACTGTGGTGATAAAGGAAGATGTTTATAAATCGTTGAATCCTGTCTGGCTTCTCGAAGGCTCATAGCCTGGTCCGCCAGGCTCATGATGCATCACATACACACCGATTTAGAACTTATCCGTACGATCCGTGGTGGACATATAAATGATACTGTATTAGATTTTCTGGCTAGTCAATTTGTATGTGTGCCAGCACGAGCTTATACGTCATCTTCTGTGCCTTCCGCTCATCTTTTCTAGTCTCGGGCTGTCGCCATGCGATGCATTGTTTGATTGTATCTTTGAATTATACGATAGAGTACAGCACATAATGTACATATGCTGCCTAGATTAGTTCTTCCTTTTCAAAATGGCCGGTGCAAACACCATGAGTGCGGATATATGAGCTTGGTTAGGCAATGTCAGCAGCCGTGTAACTCACATCAGACGGCAAAAAGTCCGAGTTATGCCTCTTCCGCTTTCGTCGACGGCTCCAATCAAAGTCCCTCTCGCCTCCAAATGATGGCGAGCTTCTTCGCGCCGTATGGTCAGAAACCAAAAGCTCATCATTGTGGTGCTTCAAGTGGACTCTTTTGTCTACGCTCTGTCCGTTCAGCAAGAAAGTACGTATAATTGTCTGGCACATGCAATTGGTCCTAGATCAATGGGTATGGCTTCCTGTTCTACCTCTCGGATGGCTGTCGAATCCCGTTATTCGGGCTACCCGCGTCCAAACTTACGTGCCAATATCCGTAAGTGGTGACTCCACGTTCTTCCCGCTAGCAGATGCATCAAAAGCCGATTTTGGCTGCCGTCGCAAAAAAGTTGCGACAAAGTTTAGAAAACGAGCAATCACAGAATAGACTCAGATGCGGCTCCACTGCCACCTGGTGCCTAACGCATTCATGCGGTATGCTTGCTTGAAAAGGGATGCATTGGGCAGAGTAGAACGACAAGAAGATGATGAGTCAGACTCATTGTTTACTTTATGGTACGTCAACAATACGGTACTGTCGCAGCCCGTACCCAAAAAATCATGGCTTCTCGTCAGCAGCAGCCAAAGAAAAGGGATAGAACCAACGAGAACTGCGATAAAGCGGTCAAAAACATCATGTGGCGTTGTGAGCAGATACGACGACGGTACGGGGCCGATGTGTGTGTCCAAGTCCGCTTCAAAAGCAGGTTCTATGAATACACGTCTTCCAATGAGCACAATTTCCCTAAATCTCGCGCTGAGTTGGTAAGTTCAATCACATCATAGCCCTTCAAGGCTACCTTTAAGGCTAAGGTTTGGGAGAAAACGATCTACCCGGTTCCTGTGACAAAATCGCCACTGGACTATGCGGAAAGAAGATCTCGATGCGACGTCAAAGGTCAATCTGGCGTGGGTAGCGGTTGAGTGCGACAATGTAGCTGTTCGGCGGAGGATCGTAGTTGCAATGATGCTCATTTTTCTTGTATATCTACTGTATTGCCCGAATTGGTGCGTATACTTGGTGTGTCGCTCTCCTCGTGTCCCCTG